GAGTTTACCTAAATATACAATCTGTACATTTAGCTCCATGATGCAGCTGGAGACTTGGAGGTCTGTGTGGGGGACAAAGCCACATGATCTTGGCAAGAGCAGCCCTCGAGAAGAAACAGACTTTGAAATAAATATTCCAATGCCTTGAGGAGAGCACACTCCAAAACCACAAGAGATTAGAAAAGGCCCTTTTGCCTACTCCCTGCAGGCCAGGCAGCACTGGGAGATCCTGCAGGCACTGACAAGGAGCGCAAAGGGACTGAACGCCGGGAAGCACGAGGCCACAAGCACAGAGCCGTTCACTGACCACTGGCCGCGATTTGTGAGCAGAGTCATCCAAATGGTCAAAATAATATAGACTGAATACAAGGTAGCGAAGGAGCTCACCAGGACCAGGATGGTGCGTGTGGCTCTGGCCTCGTGGGAAGGCCTCGGGGAGAGGCTGTGGCTGCGGATGTGCTGGACACGCTGCCTGTGCCTGTGCAGGAGCAAGACCATGGAGCCGCTGGCCCAGGTCATGAGGATGAGACTCATTAAGTTAGGGAAAAAATATAAGACGGAATATAATAGGCTATATTCTTGTGGCATTATCCAAGAACAATAGTCATTGTTTTCTCTGCTGAGATTTTTCTTACTCAGTGGACCATTCACTATCAAAGGAAGAAATGAGTTTATTGAGAGATGTAGGATCCAGCACATGAAACAGCAGAAGGCAGTAAACCTCAGGGATCTGATCTTGAGTTCCATCCACTTACAAAAATGGGGGTTGAGCTTAATGGCCTGGAAGCCACTGAAGAGGCAGGCGGTACTGAAGGACACTCCAGTGCCCACTCTGTAAAAGTAGAAGACAAGTTTGCACCCAGCATCGTCCAGGAAATGTTCCCATCCCATAGTTGCCAGTGTCTGAGGGACACCTTTGGAGAAAAGAACCACCAAATTGGCCAAGACCAGTTGATAAAGAATCAAATCCGTGGGCCTCAAGTGATGTCCAGTGAGCAAAGTGAAGTTGTACAGACAGAGAAGGGAGGAGTTTCCCATCAGGCCAAGTCCTGTCTGCGTAAGGAAGAGAATCTCCAAATTCAGTTTGGCAGAGCACATCCTATGAGTCTGCAGAGGGACCTGGCTTTAAGTCAGATGAATGAGGAGTTACACAGATGGCAAGGAACTTTATCACAGTCACTGAGTCCCTCGCTTTCAGTACTTAGTGTATTCACAGTATTCTTATATTAAATGGACACAGAGTTTTGCCCGAACGCAAAAGCAGTGCAGTGAGGAGCTGTGCTGCCGTCGCCTCTGCATCTGCTTCCGGGTGAAGGACGTACATCAGGGTGACCTCAGCCACAGGGCTGAGCGAGGGGCGCTGTGTGCGCTGCTGCCGGCTGTTCTGCCCCACGCTTTCTCCATATAAAGGCTACAAACGACAAGTGCAACATGGGACCCCACTTTTATGAAACTACAAGGATACACATATAGAAGAAATCCCAGAAAAGTAGAAATGAAGTTTATGAGTTGACCTGATTTGAAGTTTGACTAGCACAAGTATCTTACACAATTATTGAAAAATATTAAGTACATTGCTTATCAAAATCAGTAGGGCAGGGGATTTAGTTCAGTGGCACAGCACCTGCCTGCCAGACATAAGGTCCTGAGTTCAACTCCCAGTACCAAAAAATGAAAAACAATAATGCTCCAGATAAAATGAAAATCTGAGTCTGATTATACATCACTGTGGTGTTCTGTGCATACTTACCAGAAATAGTTCACATGACTTTACAAAATATTTCTCTTGTCTTCAATAAAGCAGTGTAGACACTGGAAACAGCTTTGCAGCTTTATCCCAAGTACTAGGACTATAATATCTTTTTTTTTTTTTACTAAAAAAATACAAAGCATCTTGAAAACAAATAGTGGTACTGGATGTATGAGAAAAACCCTGCAGGTGTTCTTCAAATTTCTCAAGCAAAAAAGCCAGGATGCTCCAGAGATATCAGGTGTATTTGGAGATGACACATAATTCAACTTGGACAGAAGAGATGCCGCCGCTGCAGCAGCACTGGGCGCAGAGGCGCAGGGGGGCCGGGCGCTTCCTCGCCTAACCTTTGCACTCTGTGGGCACGATCGGAATCATCACTTCAGGTTTATGACTCAATGATCAGGTAAGGGCTCAAAGGACAGCTTCAGACCACTCAGGAAAAGGCCCCATGGTAGAACCGAGCAATGCAGGACACTCAGGAAAGGAGGGGAAAGGCCGGCGAGACGGCTTAGTGGACTAAGCGCCTGCTTTGGCAAGCGCGGGGACCAGAGTGTCCCACATGCTGCACCCCCGGGGCGCGCTGAGCCTGCGCAGGAGCCACGCGGCGCTGCACGCCTGTAACCCCAGTGCTGAGGAGGCTGAAAGTAGGAGGATCGCTATGAGTCCAAGCCGCACAGTGACAGCCCATACCAAATACATAAAAGAAAAAGCAAAGAGAGGAGGGAAACAGCAAGAAGGTATGAAAGAGAATGCTGGAAGGGTTTCACAAAGCAAGTAGTTTGGGGCCGAGGGAATCAGAAATCTTAAAGTTGGTTGCACAGCTAGGTGTATGACAAGAGCCTGTGAGCCTTGAAGTTGTGACACGTCTTAATTGTTGTCTTATTAATAATACAAAAACTGCGGGGCAGGGAAGGACCAAACTTCCCCTGATTGTCAGGAGCTGTGGAGGCAGCTAAATCAGTAGCACCAATCCTTAGAGAAGGATGCTACGTGTCTGTCCAAGAGGCTCTCGGTGAGAGTAAAATGCTTGCTACTTTATAAAATAAACTTAGAGGGTATTCTGAGCGACAGATTAATAATACGATGAAAATAATATAGCTCTTCTCTCTCTCTACTACCGTTATCCACACATTTTCCTGATAAACTTTAAGAATCAGCAACGTGGGGAAAAGAAACTTTCTTTTTCTTTCAATAAAGGCCACCATCTTCTAATAAGGACAGAATTTTTTTTATTTTTCAGAGTCTCCCTACACAGTTTAGACTCAGAGTGGCCTTCCTGTGTCAGCCTCCCCAGCACCTCAGAACCTGGTTTCAGGGCCAGCGGGGCACTCCAGCATGGCGTGCAGTACTGGGGATCGAACCTTGCCCTTGCCAGACACGCACTTAAACTACCAAGCTATCTCTCCAGCTCAGGACAGTAATTTTAGAAAGGTTTCTACAGACCCCCTGAGCCCCGGGTGCTTTCCATTGAAAACAACAGAGAGAGCGGAAGCTTTTGCCATCTGCTGGACAGCTGGGAACCCCCCACCTGTCTTCTCAGGTGTCCTGTACCTGTGGGGTACTGCCTGTGACATGCACACTGTGAGCCTGCTGTTAGGCAGGAATGAGTGAGCGTAACTTTGGAGAGGGCCATGGTGGTGGAGAGAGGCGAGCCACCATCCTGCAGAGGCTGCAGCACCTTCAGACCAAGGGTCTTCTAAAATAAATCTGTCCTGAATATATTTGCATGTGTGCGTGTTCACTGCCTTGTGTCCCACTGCCTGGAGTCTCTTGGCTGGAGTCTTTTTTGGGCCCCGAGCCCACCTGCCTACCTGCTCACCTGCCCACCTGCCCACCTGCCTACCTGCCCACCTGCCTACCTGCCCACCTGCCCACCTGCCCACCTGCCACCTGCCCACCTGCCCACCTGCCCACCTGCCACCTGCCCACCTGCCACCTGCCCACCTGCCCACCTGCCCACCTGCCCACCTGCCCAGATCAGTACTTTCCTGAGGGAGTGCAGTTGCGGTGGACAGATTTGTCAGCCAAAGACTCAGTGCCAGTGACGTAGCACAGCTGGGAGCCTCAGAGGCTCTGCAGTTTATGAATTGACCTGATTTGCAGTTTGACTAGCACAAGTATCTTATTTCAATAATTAATTGAAATATTAGTTATATTTCATCTTGTGTCACTCCATCCATAATCTGTCCGTTTGCAGTAGCAGCCTGTAGTAAGAGCTTGGTCCTGCAGAGAGCCCGCAAGGACAAGACCCCGACGCAGCTCTGGGAGACGGCTGCGGGGCCTGGAGCCAGGCTGGCCCGGAGCACCAGGAGAGCCGAGGAGCTGAGCAGCCCGGCGGCAAGCAGAGCGCAGGGCGTTGCCTGACACCGAGAGTCAAGCGCGTAACTGAGCAGCTATGAAAACCCTCAGTCCAGAAGGAATAGTGGAAGCTTGCTCGGGCGTTTGCCACGGATCGTTGGACCACCGAGTGGAGGGATCAGAACAAGTACAGTTTGCAGTCGCCCAGAACGAGCCAAACAACCAAGCAGAACCCCACAGCACTTCTGCCCACCTTCCTGGTGACCCTCGTCCAGGCGGAGGGACTCAGGTGGCATTATCAGGTGTAGAAAGATGCCTCCGATAAAGGAGGATTGATCAGTATTAATATTTGCAATCTGCCCTTCCTGTGACCTGAAATATCATACATTGGGGGTCAGACACTTTCTGTTAATGGAGTGCAGCCTGCCCAACGGGAAGTGGGGGGAGGGAGCCCCAGGAAATCCTGTCATTCCCGTCACGGCTCCGTGCTAGAAGAGGGAAGGGCAGAGGGAGACGGAGACGGAGGCTTGCTCACTGGTCCCCACGCTCCCCGTCTGCTCAGGCTTCTCCTGGGTGCAGACGCAGCTGGCAGATCCCCAGCACGAGCCGCACAGCCCCGGGCGCACAGTGGCGCCCCTTCTGGCCACTCGCGTGGCTCTTCTCCAAGCACCTCCCAGGGCTCCTCTCCAGTGCCCTCTCCTCTGGCCTAAAGTGGGAAGCTGACCGAGCGAGGGTATGAAGTGTCCTGAAGCGCCGAGTGCCTGTGCCCCATGCTTCTCCTTGTCTGTCTGACCCAGTTTTACACATAAATGGTCCTCCATTGCATACCAGTGCCTTAGAATTCTCAAGAATCAAACTCTGCACTTTCATTCGAGAGTGTAAAAGTGACCGTAGGTCCGGCACAGCTGTGTGCTTCTCTTTTTCTTTCATTAGCGCTCTCTGTCTGCTCAGCTCCCACCACCACTACTGCTTTTGGTGCAAGGTCCTACCTGTTCGATGTAAGGTCCCGCCTGTGGGTTGCCGGCCCTCCTGGCGGGTCTCCTTAAGAATTCCTTGAAAGCTCTTTTGGAGACTTGCACACGCACGGATGTTTTTCAAGGATCATCTCCTCTCCCCAGCAGCCGCTGTCACCGCACTCATGGGTTAAGTGATAATCACTTCCCGGCCAGCAGGCGAGGTCCCTTTGCGCTCCTTGTCAGTGCCTGCAGGATCTCCCAGTGCTGCCTGGCCTGCAGGGAGTAGGCAAAAGGGCCTTTTCTAATCTCTTGTGGCTTTGGAGTGTGCTCTCCTCAAGGCATTGGAATATTTATTTCAAAGTCTGTTTCTCCTCGAGAGCTGCTCCTGCCAAGATCATGTGGCTTTGTCCCCCACACAGACCTCCAAGTCTCCAGCTGCATCACGGAGCTAAATGTACAGATTGTATATTTAGGTAAACTCAGCTTTCTCATTCTAACTCTTACAGTGCTCCAGAGGAGGGCAGGTGGGTGTGGAGTTCAGAACATTTGAAAATATAATTATGTTATATAATT